TCCTTCGGCAGCCCGCACGCACCCGCTCCGCAGACGCCGGTAGCGGAAAGAGGTCGCAGGCGTGCACAGAGGTGGGCACAGAGGTTGGCAGAGGCAGGGGCTGGTCCGCGTGGTCCCGTCCCAAGGGCTGGAGAGCCCGGGAAATGCTGTATATTTTCGCTTCTAACGGAAGGCACAAGTGGTTAAACACAGATCTTTTTTAAGCCTATGAAAAGTGTTTTTCACAGGATGTAGAGTTGATCGCCAGTCTGCAGTCAGGCCTTCCCAGCACCGTGGCTGTCTTTGACAACTAGCATCTGTTTCTCGAACTGTCGCTTTCATCAGTGAGGACACGGGACGACAGACAGGAACATGAGTACCCTGCAGCAGGCATGAAAGTGGAGACATGCTAGTTAGAAGCAGGTGAGCTGCCGGGCCCCAGGCGAGGTGCTAAATTTAGCCTGTAACTAAATGTATCGAGGGAGTGTATGAAATGGTATTTTTAAACGCTGTGGGCACCCAAACCAGATATGTTTCATAAGCAGCTTTGGCAAGAACCAAAGGAAACTGAACCTCTGTTTCCAAGTGTACAGTGTTAATTAACTGAGTCATCATCCATGACAAAAATCCCAGGGCACATGGTACGGGATTTTGTGAGGTTGGCCTTGGAAAAAGAAAAGCAAGGAATTCCACCCTCCCCAACTATATTCTCAATTTCTTTTAAGAGCTGTATGCTCGCCCTAACTGGTTTGGCTCTGTGGATAGAGTGTCGGCCTGCGGACTGAAGAGTCCAGGTTCGATTCCGGCCAAGGGCATGTACCTTGGTTACGGGCACATCTCCAGTAGGGGGTGTGCAGGAGGCAGCTGATCGATGTTTCTCTCTCATCGATGTTTCTAACGCTCTATTCCTCTCCCTTCCTCTCTGTAAAAAATCAATAAAATATATTTTTTTTAAATCAAAGTGAAGTTAATTTTTTTAAAAAAGAGCTGTATGCTCTACTCAGGAAGATTCTGTGTTCAGAGAAAAAATATCTCCAGTTTTGGCAAGAATTTGAAATAGGACTGATGCCTTTGGCCAAATACAGTTTTCCGAGGTAGTTATAGTGATGTGTCAGCCTTTCTAAATAAGGGGGTTAATGTAGGTGAGGTGAAAAAAATATATATCAGAGCTGCATCCTGGGGAAATAGGCATTCCTCCTGCTGCAAATGCCCCAAAATTTGGCATTCCTAGGCTGGCTGATGTGCCAAAATGGAACCCCAGCATGGTGAGCTTGGACCAATTCAAGAGGCTCTGTGTGGCCCTAACCGGTTTGGCTCAGTGGATAGAGCAGCGGCCTGGGGACTGAAAGGTCCCAGGTTCGATTCCGGACAAGGGCATGTACCTTGGTTGCGGGCACATCCCCAGTAGTGGGTGTGCAGGAGGCAGCTGATTGATGTTTCTCTCTCATTGATGTTTCTAACTCTCTATCCCTCTCCCTTCCTCTATGTAAGAAACCAATAAAATATATTTAAAAAAAAAAAAAAAGAGGCTCTGTGTGTGAAACATTAAAAGTGACAATTCTGGGTCAGTCATTCAGACCTCAAGTGTCCCCTTTGTGGCCTACAGACATTTTTATTGGTAGCAGTCCAGATGAAATGAACCAGCTCAGTACACACAACCCCTCTTGCCATTTTGACTGACTCCTCCTATGCACGATTTAATTCAACCAGGTGTCAGGTACACAGAAGAGGAAGGGAGGATGGGGTGCAGCTCACATCTGTTGGTTTTGGGGTCTGAGCGAATGTCTGTGGAAATCTCCCTCTGTGAATGTTTTCTTTTGAAGTTACTTGGGATAAACATTTCTTTGGAACTCTCTAAGCAGGTAGGTCTCCTGATCCCTCTTCCCTGGTGACTTTTGGCCTGTGGAGAAAAATAGGAAGGTGATTCAGCAGATTCCTGGCTGTGTGGCACAGCCCTGTGGGACCTGCCAGGGGAGTGGAGGGAAAGTGGGTCAGGAAACCTTAGTTGAAGTAGGGCCTCTCCATCATCTGGGTGAGATCTGGCCACTGACAAAAGGAGGGGGCGGGATATAGGAAAAGCTCAATTTCGTTACAAATCCATTTTTTTTAATGCACATATTTTTAAATAAAGAGGAAATACCCAAAGTTATAGTAAACATTACATATGATTTCTAGCCTGACGACTTAAAATGTTATCTCATCTTCTCTTTTAAAAAAATATATATATATTTAAATATATTTTTAGTGATTTCAGAGAGGAAGGGAAAGGGAGAGAGAGATAGAAACATCAATGATGAGAGAGAGTCATTGATCAGCTGCCTCCTGCATGCCCCCTACTGGGGATCCAGCCCCAAACCCTGTCATGTGCCCTTGATTGGAATCAAACCTGGAACTCTTCAGTCCACAGGGCAACACTCTATCCACTGAGCTAAACCAGCTAGGGTTCATCTTCTCTTATTCGAACTTCACTGAATGCTAATGTTTCTTACTGTATTTGGCCAACTTGAATCTTATATCTGTGAATTGCCCAGTAGTAGTGTTATAATGTACCCCGCGAATCACAGAAGGACGCCTCAAGAAGTTGAATTAAAGAGTCACATTTATTGCAATCCGGGACTACGAGGGGGCATTTTGCTCTCCCAAATCTCGCAGCCATAAGATGGCCGCAACACCAGATTTATATAGGCAAAAATCACAAAGGTATTGATTACATTCCAGGGTTTGGAATGAGGACCCTGGTTTGCACAAAGCAGTAACAGAAGCGAGATTGAGCCGATTAGTTATCTACAAAGATTAATTATAGTTTTGGGTCTTTGGACCACTGAGTTGACAGAAACACATTATCTAGAGCCCTCGGGTCTTGGGACCACTGAGTTGACAGGGAAACATTATCTGGAACCCTCGGGTCTTTGGATAATTGTGCTGTCCTGGTTCCCAGGTACAGAAGAATGTGCTTCGATAACCAGTAAGATCACAATCAATGGGGTATTCACATTATAATCAATAAGGCATTCAATCGAATGGAATGATTTATACAATTCAGAAAATCAAAGTAACTTTTCTATTGTTAAACAAAGCAAATAAGTACAGAAGCCAAACAGCAGGGTTAAAGTTAAACTATAGTTTCTACCTGAGATGATTGCTACCATACTTCAGTAGAACTTGCTTATTATTTTATTTGATTCTCTGACTTTTTCTTCAGATAAAATCCCTCATCAGCCCTGGCCGGTTGCTCAGTGGTTAGACCATCAGCCCTGGCACTGAAGGGTCCCAGGTTGATTCCTGATCAAGGATACATATCAGGGTTGTAGGTTTGATCCCTGCCTTTGGGAGGCAACCACTCCACTTGATGTGTCTTTCTCACATAGATACCTATCTCCCCACCCCTCCCTTCCACTCTCTATAAAAATCAATGGAAAAAATATCCTCTGGTGAGGATTAACCAAAAAAATCCCTTATCAGTTTTTGATGTTGTAAATATCTTCTCCCTGCCTGTGACCCCTTCATGAACTCTGTTGGAAAATTAAACAGAAATCTTTAATTTTTAAAAATATATTTCTTTATTGATTTAAGAGAGGAAGGGAGAGGGAGGAAGAGATAGAAACATCAATGATGAGAGAGAATCATTGATTGGCTGCCTTCTGCACGGCCCCTACTGGGGATCAAGCCTACCCGGGCATGGCATGTGTCCTTGGCTGGAATCAAACCTGGGACCTTTCAGTCCGCAGGCCGACACTCTATCCACTGAGCCAAAACGGCTAGGGCAGAAATCTTTAATTTTGAGTAGTCAACCCAATAGTTTTATCCTTGATGGCTTTGCTAATCCTAAGGAAAGGATGGATTGTTCCATAGCTGGTGCCATTCATTAATACAGAAACCTCATAACTAGATCCCTTTATCACATCAGATGCAAAAATAATTACAGAGTAATCAAAAGCATAAAGTTGGAAAGAAAAAACTTTTAGAAGACATTGAAAAATATACTTAGAACCTTGGATCATGGAAATTTCTTACACAAGAATAAAAATTGCAAACTATTAAAGAAAAGAATGATTCAAATTTAAATACTTCCAAAAGTATAGGGACAAAAATCAGACCAGTGGGGACTGGAGGACAGGGGAATTGGTTGGAGTGAAAAAAGTGTTCTATACCTTGATTGTAATGGTAGTTCTATATTGTATGTGTTTTCCAAAACTCACAGAATTGCTCACTACAAAGGGTAAATTTTACTGTATGTAAATTTTATTTTAGAAAAAAAATAATATTTTTTTAATTGGCCTTCTGTTTGACAAAAGACACATCATAGACTAGTGTGTTAGTCTGTTTATGCTGCTATAACCAAATACCATGCACTGGGTGGCTTAAACAACAGACATTTACTTTTCACAATTCTGGAAGCTGAGAAGTCCAAGATCAAGATGGCAGCAAATTCCTGCCTGCTGAGAGCTTTCTTCTTCGCTTGTGAGGGCTTCCTTCTAGGTGTATCCTCACTGGGAGAGAGAGCCATTTCTCTCTCTTCCTCCTCTTACAAAGCCACTAATCTCATCATTGGGGCCCCAACACATGACCTCATCTAACCCTTAATTACCTCCCAAAAGCTCCATTTCCAAATAACATCGAATTGGGGGTTAGAGCTTCAACTGATGAATTTGGGGGGCACAATTCAGTGCATAGCAACTTGGAAGAGATTTAGAACAGATATAACTAATAAAGGATTCATTTCCAGAATACACAAAGAAGTCCTAAAAAAAAACAACAACAGTAAAATAACAGCTACCCCTTAAAAAAATGAGCAATGAATAGAATAAGCAGTTCCGGAGGAGGAAACTCAAGTGGCTAGTAAACACAAAAAAGATGCTGAACCACATTGGTACTCAAGGGAATGAATTAAGATAGCATTTGACACCAATCAGAGTAAAAATTAACTCTGATCCTAGCAGAGTATGTGGATTCACATTACTAATACAGCACTTCCACTTCCGTACCTTCCCATGCACAGGTTCATGAGGAAACAGGATGGAGAGGTTCAGAGGTCCAAGAAGAGAAAGGAAAGGGATGTTCCTGCAGCGCTGGCTTTCATAGTCCCATGAAGAGACTGCTGGCCCAGTTAGCGTGGCTCAGTGGTTGAGCATCTCTACCTATGAACCAGGAGGTCACGGTTCAATTGCCACTTAGGGCACATGCCCAGGTTGTGGGCTTGATCCCCAGGAGGGGGTGTGCAGGAGGCAGTTGCTGGATGATCCTCTCTCATTGATGTTTCTATCTTTCTCTTCTTCTCCCTTCCTCTCTGAAATCAATAAAAATATTTTTTAAAAGGATTGCTGAATGTATAGTTTTCCCTTTTACACTATGACTTGAATCCACTTGGAGTTTTTCTGTTTCAGTGTGATGTAAGGCAGGGACCTGACTTTATTTTTTGCACTTAATGACCAGTTTTCCCCAGACTATCTGTTCTTTTCCCATGTATTTGTGAGGTCACCTCTCTCGGCCATTTTATTGTAATATTTGAAAATGATTTGTGTCAAAAGTGGAGTTATAGTAGGAACCCAGATCAGAGAGTTGGGGAGCAGGCTCTGGGAGGCTGTCTAAAGAAGCCCTCCTCCCAAAGGGGACAGTTCCAGATACATCTGTGGCAGGCCCTTCTCTCAATGAGCGCTGAGGGCCACGTAGGGCTGGACATCAGTACATGTAGAGAGCCCTGTGTCCCAGAGCACAATGGCCAAGGCTGAGCCAGCCAGTGGGCAAGTGGGAGCCTCCTGCAAGGTGGTTTGGGGCAGCAGGCCAGGGGCAGCTTTGGTGGCCCTGGAGATGGACAGCAGGAGAGAGACTGCCCTGTGACAGGGGCCAGGGTAAGGAAGGAGCGCCGCCACCAAACAGCCTGCGCTGGGATTCCTTAACAGTGGTCCTGGACCCAGCTGAGTGCCTAGGACCTCTTCCTACTATTCCCACCTTTCAGCCAGATGTTCTGGATTCCCCTCCTCCTCGTGGAACCTTTTCTCCCACATGGCCACTCCCTTTCTGGCTGGTCTTGCCCTCCCAGGACCTGAGCTGTCATCCTGGATGGCTCACCAGTTCTTCCCCACTGTCACCTGAGGATAAGGGGGAGTGAGAAGCAGGGGGGAGGATTACCAAGGAACTGGAGGAAATGGTTTGCAGGTGATGGGATGTTCCTTATTGTGATTGTTGTGATGGTTGCACAGGTAAAGACGTATGTCAGAATTCATCAAATAATATACTTTACGTAAGTGCAGTTTATTGTACGTCAAGTATATTCAAGCTATAAACAAAAACTGCTGACTAT